GTGTTTAATGTATAGAAGGCATCATCAACGCCCAGATTACATTACAATGCATTTTGTAATCTTCACCCTGCCAGGAGTCTTTTCTTCTTTGCTGATTTTTTTCAATCTGTACTGTCTGATGTCTCTCACCAATGTATAAAAAGCATCCTCCACTCTCTGTCTTGTCTTTGCTGAGGTTTCAATAAACGGAATCCCATAACTTCCTGCTAAGTCCTGAGCCTGTTTGGTGTCTACTGTTCTAGAAGGCAAATCACATTTATTCCCTACTAGGACCATAAGCACATCTTCAGAGTCTTTTACTCTTTTAATTTGTTCTCTGTAATGGTGAATAGCTTCAAATGATTTAGTATTATTCATGGCAAATACACAAAGAAAGCCCTCCCCAGTCCTCATGTACTGGTCCCTCATTGCACTGTACTCCTCTTGACCTGCTGTGTCGAGAATGTCCAAGAGACAGGTTTCTCCATCAATTACTACTTGTTTCCTGTAGGAGTCCTCTATCGTAGGGTCATATACATCCACAAAGAGATTCTGAATTAGCTGTATCGTCAAGGCACTCTTGCCTACACCATCAGCTCCAACTACCACAAGTTTATATTCACTCATTTTCAGCAGGTCTCTCCCCACGGCTTGCCCCTCCTCAGGCAACTGCTGCCGCCTTCAGGCCCAAGCTGCTCTCACTCACTCACTAGATCGCTGCGGGTCAGAAATGGCTTGGGAGCTAGACGCAGGCAGAGGCGGCTTTCCTTCTCTTCCTCTGCCGCGGACGCCACGGCCTTTGCCTGCAGAATCACCACAGTAGTAATTTTTAAACTAGATCTGCTCCAATTAATATCACCCAGAAACCTCTGAAAACCATTTAAAGTTTGAAGGGTGTCCAGCCAAAGACTAATCTTTTGAGGGTGCACCCCATTTGCCACAACCAAGCATGTCTTAGGTTTGGCTCCCTCACTGACCTTCTTATTTCCTTGCATAGCAGAAGCAATAACTTGTTCAATAATGTGGTGTTCATCTGTATCTCTACAAATGCGAATGTAATCATTGAGGCTTTTGACCTTGTGAGGTGTTAGAACCACTTTACAATACTTGTAGGCATTTTTAAAGCTAGTTGTCTAACTATAGACAAGGCATTATCAGTATCTCCATATATACACACTGCAAGCAGCTGCTGAGATCTGTGCATATACAGCTGGATTGTAAAAAATTGGCTGACCTAGGTCTGCATAGGCTCCCGTACCAGTAAGCATTTCTGACATCTTTTCAGGGAAACTGGCAGCCATCTTGAGCTATACCATTTGGTTACATAGCTCTTCAAATTCACCTCTCCAAATCAAATAATCTCCCCTGGACAGCACAGCTGGACATAATTGTTGCCAATCACTGGGCGTGCAATTGAAGACCACAAAGAATTAAAAAATGGTCAGAGTAATAAAAGTTACGTTGTCATGACTGCAATAGTAGATAAATAGTGTCAATACTGGTCTGCTGAGGGAGCCTGGCTAAACAGTTACAGCAGCAAGTCATACAGAAATGTGAGAGTTTGCAACACAGGCTTTAATGATTGCAAAACCGAACACAGTATTGCAGACTGTTAATTAACAAGCATTTTCCTCTGTTGCTGAAGGAATGTCAATATTTTCCACATCTTTATATTTCATATATTGTCTTAATTTTCTAAAATGAAAAGACATCATTTTTAATATCAGGGAAAAGTGTTTTTTTTTCTTCTTAAAAAGTTTTCTCACTGGGTGTTGGTGGCACATGGCTTTAATCCCAGCACTCGGGAGGCAGAGGCAGGCAGATCTCTGTGTGTTCAAGGCAAGCCTGCTCTCCAGAGCTAGTGCCAGGATAGGCTTCAAAGATGCACAGAGAAACCCTGTCTTGAAAAAACCAAAAAATACTTTTCTCTATATTTTTGTTCTTAAATATATCTCTGTTTATCATTAAACAAAATGGATTTCTGCCACAGTGGGTAGAACTGATACTGGGGTCTTAGCCCTGTGTGTCTGTAGAAATGCCACATTGTGTTTCCTCAGATAGTCTCACTAGCGTTTTCTACTAAGCCATTCCAACTAAGCACCTTCTTAGCTCAAAGTCA